AGCGCGGCCCCCCTTTCCTTCTCCCTCTCTCTCTCCCTTCCCCCTTTTCCCCCTCGGCAAAGGAAGGGGGGTCCGAATTGGACTGGGAGTCCTAGTAGGACTCCCCCCTTGGGAGAGCGCTCTGGCCGGCCCTCTCCCCTCTCCCTACTTTACAAACGGGGGCGGCGGGGGGGGGGGCACCTGTAGGCACACCAATTGTCTTAGCCATTTGCGGTGCCCCCCTCCACCGTTTACTCCTGCGATCATATTGTCGTAGTGCTTAGGCGAAGCCCTGTGTGGATCACATCACCATCACCGTCACCATGCCATCGTGGTGATGCAACTCATCTACTCCTTCGTACCTCTAATGGATCAAGAGTTCGAGGGACGTATCGAGCTAAACGTGTGCAGAACTCGGAGGTGTCGTACGTTCGGTACTTGTTAAGTTAACGCTTTCGCTTTCGGTCTACAAGGGTACGTGGACACACTCTCCCCCTCTCATTGCTATGCATCTCCTAGATAGATCTTGCGTGAGCGTAGGATTTTTTTTGAAATTGCATGCTATGTTTCCCAACATATAAGAGATTGAAGAAACTCAAATAACTTTCATGGATATAGATCTAACCATAAAATCAAAGTTCATAGGATCCCAACAAACACACCATAAAAAGAGTCACATCAAATAGTTCTTGAGGAGACCATATTATTGAGAATCAAGAGAGAGAGAGAGAGAGAGGAAGCCATCTAGCTACCGCCTACGGACTCGTAGGTCTATGATGAACTACTCACGCATCACCGGAGAGGCACCAATGAGTATGATGAACCCCTCTGTGATGTTGTCTAGATTAGATCTGGTGGTTCTGGAACTTGCGGCGGCTGGAATTGTTTTTTGTCGACTCCCCTAGGGTTTCTAGAATATTGGGGGTATTTATAGAGCGAAGAGGCGGTGCAGGAGGCCACCGAGGTGGGCACAACCCACCAAGGCGCGCCTGGGCCCCCAAGCGCGCCAGGTGGGTTGTGCCCCCCTCGGGTACTTCTTTGGCCCATGTTGTTCCTTTCGGTCGATAAAATTCTCCAAAAAGTTTCGATGCGTTTGGACTCCATTTGGTATTGATATTCTATGAAGTAAAAAACAAGCAAAAAATAACAACTGACACTGGGCACTATATCAATAGGTTAGTCCCAAAAAACGATATAAAGTTGCTACAAAATGATTGTAAAACATCCAAGAATGATAATATAACAACATGGAACAAGCAAAAATTATAGATACGTTGAAGACATATCACCTGCAGGCGAGCATTGTTGGAGTTGCTCTAGTGTAATTACAACCAGTAGAAAATATTGCAACAAGGTGTTATTTCATTGGCCGAAACAAACAATTCATATAAATGTTTCGAGGCAAATTTTTTCTCTCCTTAATCAGGGATTGCGATATGAAATAATATACTACACATTATATTCCTGTGAAAAAATATACAATGATTGATATGAATATATATAGTACCATAGTTTAAAGGTGTCTGCTACAAATTAGCCAGACAACTTTAGCCAAATCTTAGTTGTCTCGTCCAATCAGACGCTCCGCAACCATAGGATCAGGCATGTGATGTCTACTACACAACTTACTCTTGTAGACTCTGTGTTGGGCCTCCAACCACAGAGTTTTGTAGGACAATAGCAATTTTACCTCAAGTGGATGACCTAAAAATTATCAATTCATGGGAGGCGTAGGATAAAGATGGTCTCTCTCCAACAACCTTGCAATCGAATACAAGAAATCTCTTGTGTCCCCAACACACCCAATACAACGGTAAATTGTATAGGTACACTAGTTTGGCGAAGAGATGGTGATACAAGTGTAGTATCGATAGTAGATATAGGTTTTTGCAATCTGAAAATATAAAAGAATCAAAGTATCAAATGATAAAATGGAGCACAAACGGTATTGCAATGTTTAAAAACAAGGCCTAGGGTTCATACTTTCACTAGTGCAATCTCTCGACAATGCTAACATAATTGAATCATATAACAATCCCTCAACGTGCGATAAGAGTCACTCCAAAGTTTTTATCTAGCAGAAAACATAAAACGAAATTGTTTGTAGAGTACGGAATCACCTCAAAGTTATCCTTTCCGATCAATCTATTGAGCTATTCCTATAAGTTTCACAAACAACCCTAGAATTCATACTAAAATAACACCATATTATACACACCAACCAACTCTAATGTCACCTAGATACTACAATGTTACCAAGTATCTGTGAGTTGATTATTCCATATGCATGAAGAAATTTCAGATTCATAATATTCAATCCAACACAAATAATTTCAAAGAGTGCCCCCAAGGTTTCTGCCAGAGAGAGTAGGACGAAAACATGCATCAACCCCTATGCATAGATTACCACAATGTCACCTCGGGAATCCGCGAGTTGAGTGCCAAAACTTACATCAAGTGAATCAATATAATACCCCATTGCCACCACAGGTATTCATATGCAAGACATACAACAAGTGTTCTCAAATTCAACAAGTATTCAATCCGATAATAGTGAAACCTCAAAGGTAAAAACTCAATTCATCACAACAAGGTAGAGAGAGAGAAACACCATACGATCCAACTATATTAACAAAGCTTGCGGTACATCAAGATCGTGCCAAATCAAGAATATGTGTGTGAGAGAGAGAAAGAGAGAGAGAGATCAAACACATAGCTACTGGTACACACCCTCAGCCCCGAGGGTGAACTACTCCCTCCTCGTCATGGAGACCGCCGGGATGATGAAGATGGCCTCTCGTGATGATTTCCCCTTCAGCAGGGTGCCGGAACAGGGCCTCGATTGAGTTTTCATGGATACAAAGGCTTGCGGCGGCAGAACTTCTCATGTAGGGTTCTTTCTGGGGGTTTGGGTATTTATACGATTTTTTGGCGTCGCTCTCATGTCAAGTGGGCCCATGAGGGAGCGACAAGCCTGCTCCACGCGCCCTGGGGGGAGGGCGCGCCCCCAGGCTTGTCGCTTCCTCGTGAAGCTTCTGGTCCTTCCTCGAAGCTTCGGGACTCTCTTTTGGTCAAAAAAATCATCGTAAATTTTTAGCCTATTCCGAGAACTTCTATTTCTATACAAAAAACGACATGACGGTGTTCTGCTGAAAACAACATTAGTCCAGGTTAGTTACATTGAAATCATACAAAAACCATATAAAATTATTGTAAACATGTCATGAATACTTCATAAATTATAGATACGTTGGAGGCGTATCACCATGGCAGCACCACGCAACAGCTCAATGGCAGCACCGACAACACCAAGCGACGCTCAATTACAGCGTAGATGGCTCTTCATTGCAACCCTGACGAAGCTTCAACGACCCTCGCGACGCTCCATTGCAACTCTGGCGGCGCTTCATTTCAACTATGATGAAGCTTCAACGACCCCGCGTCGCTTCATCGCCATTCCGGTGCCCCCTGCGATGCTTCATCACAACGCCGGCGAGCCCCCATCTGCAGCACCCGCCACTCACTTGAAGCACAGACAGAGCGCCGACGACCTCCTTTGTTGCGACAACGCCTCTATGACCTATTGCAGATCGCCAGGATGCAACTCTTCCCTCCCTACAACAACCTCGACTGCCATGACGGGGTGGTTTGCAACATCATCGGCCGCTGCTGCCCGTCGTCCAGCCTGCAGCACAACACCGTCGCGCGTGAGTTGTTTGATGTCGCGCATCTCCTCTCCCCGCCTCCCGATTGCAACATGTGTGGCGAGCGGTGCCACCTTGCATCATCGCCGATGGCTACAACACTGGTGGCTTGCTGCAACGCAGCCCCCGCAGGACCGCGCATCACCGCCCACACCATGAGCATTGTCGCCCCTTTGCAGCAGCGACTTCATCGTCACTCGCCGTCAAACGATAGCCTTCGCAGCGCAATGGTGCCCCCTTCATAACAGGAGTAGCTCCACCGACCGGGATGGGAGAGGTCAGGGACAACAGGGAGGCGCTGGGGGGAGAAGAGCGCTAGGTTGCAGAAGGGAATAGGGAGAGAGGGGATCAGGAATGCCGAGAGGATGAGGACAACCCGGTCTTGTAAGAAGATAAGGTTTGCAGGACGGGCGACGTGTCAACCCCTCAAGGCGGTTTGCAGAAATGAGAAATCATCCGTTTAAATTAAAACATTTTTTTGCTAGTTTAAAACATGATGCCAAGGAGTGACCCAGAGAAAAAAACAGTAGTTTGTTTTCGTTTAATCAAAGCTGCCCTCCGGTGACGTCAAAAAAAAAAAAAGCTGCCCTCCGGGAAAATCCCTCGAATCGGATCTCGGCGGAAAAAAGAAAATCCCCCAAATCCAACCCCACGGTTTCCTCTCCGCCGTCGCGTACCTTTCGTCTTCCGTCCACCTACCAATCCGGGCTCAAGAGCTGCCGCCGTGCCCTACC